TAATATTTTATTTTATTACCTTTAAATACATTTAAAATTTAATTAATTAAAAAAAAATTGTAATACTCTTATATAAATAACCTTATAAACGAGTATAATTAAATTAGTATATAATATCATTGATTAGGTATAATAATATTATGCAGATTATTTGTATAGATACTTCACAATTTACATAGCCCAATATACCTCGGACATTGTATACAATGCCCGGTCACTGTACACAATGCCCGGACATTGTATACATTGTCCGAATTTTCCACTTTGCCCGTAACAGATACACGGGTACACCTAATTTTGATACCTACATAAATTCTTGGCAAAGTTACGATTTCTTATTTAATACTTGGAATGATACTTTTATACAATCAATAATCATTAATTAACTGTTTTGTAAATGTCACTCTTTCTGAATTTTAAGTGCAAGTTCCTTAAATTTTCAATCAAAACCATTTTTAAAGCTTTTGTATTCCTGAAAATTAGAATATTTACTTCGATTTTAAAAATAACCAAATGTTTAGTCATAAACTTTCGCACGTTTTAAAGTTTTAATTGTAATAACCTACTTTGAAATAACATGTTAAAAATATTATTGACATTCAAATCCTTTAATTTACAAAACGATGATAAATCCCAGCTCTACACTCAGTAATGATAATTTAAACACAATACACACTCTTGCACACCCGCACTTTGAATACCTATTATATTATTATACAATATAAAAAATCCTATTTACAATCTACCACAACCCGATTATCAGTTATCATATACAAATTATAGTATTATTTCGTTGTCAATCATGGCAATATAATTTAATCATTTTTTGAATTATCAATTTGGTAATTATAATAATTGGATGATAAATAAAGTAAATCAACAATGACATAAAAAATAACATATTGACCAAATAATTACATTTAATAACATAGTATAATAGTCTACAGCCTATTTGTGAAACAGTTGTACTTGGTTTATAGTCAGCATAACATACTCAAATATTTTGTTCTTGAATTATTTAGTTTTGATTAGTAAAAGTTTTATAGAATGTCATGAACTTATTACATTGATTTAAAATTATTCCCGTATCAACTTTAAATTAAATACTATTTTAATATAATGTGTTTTTGAGTTCATAATTTCGATGAGACTGGAGTAACTGAGCAGAACAATATATTATCATAATATCCAAGGTAAATCAATTTCTTATATCATGCTATATTAAAATTTAAAACATTGCAGTAAATAAAAACTTATATCTGGTATATAAAATTCAGTAAACTAGTAGATTTTTAATTAATTTATTATAATCAATAAATTACTGCAGTTTATTACTAACCATTTACGATAAGTATCTATTGCACTGAAGTAAATAAGACATAGTGTTAATAATTTATTCATAATGAATCGTGTTCATACAAATATGTTTATTTGCAAAAAGCATAAAAATAATGATACAATAATCGGTAATAATGATTTTATCTTAAGTTTTGTTTACTAATTAAATGTTGTAAATTACTCAAAATTATACATTTTGAAGATTTTTCAACTGTTAAAATAAAAGCTTATGGTTAATTATTTACGTATCATATACTTGATTCGAGGGTTTTAAATTTAATGCTTCATTTAAAATCATCTTTATTATGCGTATAATTATCTAATTTCACAAAACTTAAATCTCTTATGTCATAACAACAATTTTAGCACCAGACTTTTGGGAATTTTTAGTTAGGTACAATTTATATGTTAATACTTAAAACATACAGTTATTATTCAAATAGATGAGAACAATTTCAAATATTATTAAAATTAATCAAGTAGAAAAATATTTCCAAAAGTTATTACTTAATCCAATATTTGTCAACTTTATTAAAATATATTTTATGTAATTTATTTATCATGTGATATTTAAATAAATATGTAGTTCCTAAACATTTTTTAGTCTGTAGACTATAAGATTATAATTATTTTGCATTACCTACAAGTTAAGACTAATTAACCGAATTATATGAATCTCGTCAAGTATAATACATCTATATTAATGATATTTCATAACATGTTCTTAATTTTCAGAACATTTCCCTTGTGCCTAGGGAAATTTATGCACGAACTAATAAATCATAAATCTTCAGTATCAACTGTAGAAATTACATTATCTTTCTTCACTTCATAGCTCATTAATTAATTGTTATAGATTGTTCCGATTTTAAATAACTGTTTTAAAAAACAATGAAAATACCATTCCTATTATTTCTGTTGTACTATATAAATATTTAATTCAGAAAAAAAAATCTAAAAGACGACCTCGAAAATATATATTATTTTTTAATAGGTGCTTTATACTCTTAAATTACTTTTCAATACAGACTTTGTGAATCCTAAGTATGCATAATACGCTTCTGCCGGAGTGACAGAGATAAGAAACCTGGGTGTGGTACCTACATTCTTAATGAAACAAGCCACTCACTAATATTAATATGTGATTATAATATTTTCCTACATTTAATTTAATTACAAACTGTACTACGATAAGCTTTGATATTTTAAAAGTAATTTGACTGTGTCTGCACCGCATAAAATAAATGATATATAAATGGTTTTAAAATTTATATTAAGCTCAATAAATTGCAATTAAGAGTATTATCAGGAATTCAGTTAATTTGCAATTTTATTTAGCATCTAAGTCATGATATTTTATGTTTAGATAAATCTTTTGAGAAAACTTATGATTGGTTTTCATAGCTTTATATTATTGTTTTCGTTTTTTAGAGTCGTAGAAAATCGAAAAAATATGGTTAATCATGGGCGTCAAAGAAGCTATTACGAACGTTATTTTATTCATAGAATTATTATCACGATGGTAAGTAAACAATATAGTTTCAAGTTAAAAATTGCAAAATTATATTTTTATAAAAAGTATTCCCAGTGTTTAGACATTTAGAGTTTTTCATTTGCATTAAAATATTTTTTTGCGTATAAAATGAAAAAACAATGTTGAAATATATAACAATTAACGAAATAATAACACAAAATAAATTACCTTTAAATAAACCCAACATGTACTAGAAAGCTGTGAACTTATCTATACCTACTAATACTGAAGGTTTTTGAATAGACATAAGCTTGAATGTTTGCCAATACTGTTGTAAAAATTAATTAAAATAGTTATTTTTCCTTTTTTTATTTTGATCTGTAATATATTATAAATAGCTTAAGCACATTATTATGTAGAGGTTAGATTTTTAGTGCACATTAATTTCATAGGCCAAGCTATAAATAATACAGAAATCGGGATAAAAACTACCTTGAAAACAATCTTTAAAATAAATATTGGTTAATTTGATAATAATAGAAGATATTTAAATTAAATCATGAAATAAATAATAACACTTCATATATTAACTATTATGCAGTTTTTTTTATATTGTGACGATAAATGATAATGTACGAATTTTAAATGATATGAAAGTGTATAAGTAGATCATTTAATAATATATTATGAGGTAATATTTTATATGTATAAATAAATATAAATAAAATAATAATATATCTATAGATACAAACTAATTAGAAAAAGTGATTTTCTGTCATTGTCTAACACACTCTGATTGAATTCTAAAAATATTTTAATTTGTCGCTAAGTCTACTTGAAATCGAATTTTCTACATATTTTATTTTTGATTTTAACTTCTTCAAAAATTTAATTATTCCATTTTTTAATTCACTCCTTTTTTAGTATAACTTTTTTAGATTTTAGAGGGTTAAATTTAAAAATTTAAGATAGTTGATCTCAATTACACTTTATGACACATTCAAATCTGTTTTAGAATTTTTTCTGTTTCACTAGATCAATCGCTACACATCGGAATGAAAACACATCTAAGTTTCTATGTTCCACGTGTGCTAGACAAAGTCAGAAACTCAGAAAGCTGTATAATAAATAACTATATTCATTAAATATTATTTAATTATATAATTTTTAACAGTCTTCAGTTTGAATTTCAAAATATTTTATAAATGTATATTTTTTTTACGATATAATTTAGTATGTAACTTAGTAAAAAAGTATATTTTAAAGTAGGTAGGTAATAATTGTACTTTTTAATCTTTTGTAAAATAAATTTGGGGAAAAAATTATTGTTCATGTTTAAAAACGATAGTATAGATTTAAAAGTACATTCAATTTTATTTTATATTTATTTTGAACATAAATCATATAGCTTGGATTTTCATGTGACATTAAATAATAATTCTTTAATACTTGATTTTTAATATTAATATATCAAGGTTTTTTATTAGTGTTATAAATATAAGCTATACAATTGATGGAATAACTTTTCGCAGAAATAATATAATCTATAAATAAAAAATTTAAATGTTCGTTGATGATTTTTAACATTGGTGTAACGTTATTTAAAAACAAAAGTTCTTGCTATACTTTTTTTAAACTTGTATTATAATTTTTAAAGGGTTCAAATGTTTTGGGTGATTGTATCAATTATCAAGAACATAAAAAGTCTTTTCGTTCAAATGCTTGCCATATTTTTAAACGTTGTCACCAAAAATTATAACCATCTAATATTTTTTTTTAAAATCATTTTATTTTTAACAGGTATTTGTATCTCTATCACATGCAACGTCATCGAAATTGGAGAATAATTCAACGGTTTGCTCGGAATTCTTATCATGCCTGAAATGTGCGAAACATGCCTCTTGCAGTTGGTCTTTAGACATTCAGACATGTATAATGACACCTTCAAGTTTAGGCAATTTAACAGTGAATATTGAAGGACACTGTCCCCAGTTCTCCATACTGAAAAATTCCGTCCTAAGGGATGAGTTATTTTCGTACACTGTGGCGGTGTCGAACGACAAGAACAATTTCGTAAAATTTCTACAGGGGCATAAAATCACGTGCAACCTAGAAGAAGAGGAACTTGAGGGATATATTTTAAACGAAGAGATCAAATGCAACACGAAAAAACTAACGGCGCAGAGGGACAAGCGATTCAAAGCTTTGATGATTTACCATTATCACATTACGATCGACGACAACATAATACTAAGATTCAACAACGATTCCGACAATTATTTTATGTATTACGATCACGAGTGCAATAGGTCATGGAGGGACGAGGAGTGCGTGACGTGCATGTGGAGCGGATACGGGTACAAGAACTATTTCAAACGGTGTTCGACAGAAAACCGGTGCGTGGGCCAGTACGAGTATTACGGCAAGTGGCGCTTGAATAACTACACAGCGGTGACGACTGGCGATGTGGGCATCGACGGTGGCGTGCGTCTGGAGTGTCCGGAAGCCGAGATCCGGTCCGTGGAGCCGATGACGGCACCGTGGCTGGGCGGCACGACGGTGAGGTTCTCGGTCGTTAACCACCACATCCTGGCCGAGGGAAATGAAGTGGCAGTGACGGTGGCGGGGCGCGAGTGCTCGGAACCCAAAACCAGGAGGATGGCTAGCGGTGCCGTGACGTCCATCTCCTGCACCATGATGCCGGCGGCAAACACAGACCGCCGCCGCAACCACGAAGGCCCAATTCGGTTGCTGTACACCGGTGACCTGCCAAAGGTGAGCATCACGTCGGCGCTCGTCATCGGACTGGTGGATCCGGTGATCACGGACATGAGCCCGAGGTGCGGGCCCGCAACCGGCGGCACCATGTTGCGTATCGGCGGCCGGTTCCTGAACGCGGGCACCACGTTGCGGGTGTCGGTGGGTGACTACGCGACGTGCGACCCGGTGGCCATATACTCGGACCTCATACTGTGCCGGACGAACCCGGCCTCAGTTGACGGACCCACGGCGGCCAGGGTCAACGTGGTGTTCGACGGCCAGCTGAGCAAATACGTCGGCGACGGGTCGGTGGTGTTTACGTACGCGGCCGTGCCGGCGCTGGACCCCGGCCAATCACTGCAAGGCATCGCGTCAGGCGGCACCGCCGTCCAGTTGCGTGGCCGACACTTCTCGTGTCTGCGGTACGCCATGTTCTACGTCAGACATGGCGAACGGGTGCACTACACCAGTTGCAGGTTGGTCAACGATACGCTAGCCGTGTGCAGAGCGCCAAAGCTAGAGTACGGACGCGGCAGTGCGGTCATGTCGTTGAAGTACGGACTGCGAGTGCAGGACCCCGAGTACCGCGAGATGGACCTGTTGCCCCCACGGGACCCGCACGGCTACAGCTTGCACGCCGACCCGGTGTTCGTGGACTTCGTGACGGATGGCCGCACATTGACGATCAACGGCCGCGACCTGGACCGTGGCTACCGGCCGCAGGACGACCTGACAGTCCGGTTCCGCGGTTCCGGTGGCATGTGCGACGTGACGTCCACGGACCACCGACGAATCGTGTGCGTACCCTCCACCAATGGGTCCGTGACCGACTTGGGAACTGTGATCGGCGTGATCGTCACCATCGGCGACACGTTTGCGTGCGTGGTGAAGCGCAAGGCGGACGGACGGAGCCGCGGCCTCGGCGGGGGCCCACCATACGGCGTGGTCACCGGCGTCAAGATTGTCTGTCTGGTCGCCATCGCCATGGCATGCATCGCCGTCTACCGCACCAAAGCCAGACACCGCGTCGGCGCCACGGCGTCGGCTGCGTCGGCCGCATGCACCAACCCCACTACCGCGGTCGGATATCGCAACAAGTGATCGTGGCTGAATGGAGGACGACGGTGCTATACCCGATAAATATAATATTATTATTAATTTGTAAGTACGTGTATTATTTAATTGGCCGAAAGACGTTTGACAAAATTTGTACGAAATACCAACCGTGCACTGTTCGTAAATTAGTATCGGATGTCCGCACGTCCATTTCGACGGTTTTTTATATTAAATTATTATCAACTGTAACTACCTATATTATAATGTGTTGGTTATAATAATACATCGTTTAATTGATTTTATTTTTCTGAAGTTTTTTGTACTAATTGTAATAAAACCATAATTGTTGTCGCCCCTTATTGTCCCTTAATGTACACAGGTCCGTCTCAAAATATACTTAAATATTATTATTGTCGTTAGCTTGTGCCGGAAACGTCGAGCACCGATTTCGGTTTCAACATAGGTTAGGTTTATGAGTAGGTACCTGTGCCCATTATACGATGCGAATACTTTTTGTGTCACGGAATTCACAGGTGAGATGTTCGAGTGGTATTGTATTTCATATTGTTATATTTGAAAACGACCAATGTATAGAACTATATACATCGACATGAACCTAATATATATGTAGGTATAGATATTTGGATTGTTATACGTTTTTGTTATATCTGTTGTTCGTTAACCATTTAATCGTGTTTCGGCCTAATGTATATTTAAGTGTCAACTAATATTAGTTGAAAACACGTTTTTATCCATCAATATCTGGGGGTAATGGATTATTGATAAGTCTCCTTGTCTGGAGACCTAAATGCGTCTAGGCGCCACATTTTGTATACGAGCGCCGAGCAGTCGCCAGATAAGACTGTGGTCATTTGAGTACGGAGGTATGAAGAGCGCACATCTAAAATATTCTTATTGAAATTGTTTCGTTTTTAATATAAAAAATTCTTATATTCTCTTTATTATAAAATAAAAACTTATATTTGTTAAACATTTTTGTTTTTAACGGTCATACAATATTCAATAAACAGATCTGAACCCATCGGATAGAACAATAAAATCGCAAGCAGGTAAGTAAAACATACCAATATTTATATGCATTTAAACCCTAAATATAAAATTATAAAATTATAACATATAACCAAATTATATATTATTGTATAACACGTTTTTAAACATTCCGCCAGAATAGAAAAAATTGATCAATTAATATAATAACTAGGTAGACTATTATAATAGCGAATTTATAGTCATTTTATTTTCCTAATTTATTTAATGACAAATCTATACTGTAATATTAGCAGTCTCGTAATGTTAAAATAATAAAAATATATTCATCTATGTGGTCATAAATATTTCTTGATTTTACATTAACAAAAGCAACCTTATTATAATTTTATGTTACTAAACATTTTTAAATACAATATTTTTTTCCGGGGTTGATCTTCAATTTTTTAAAATTTTCATTTTTTGTTTTAAAATATAAGATTAAAATTAAACGACGAAGCACGATTGTTTTTATTTTAAAGAGAAAGCTTTCAATAAATTAAAAATATCTTTTAATAAGTGAAGTAAAATACATAGCTCATTAATATATTGTGAATGACTCACAGTGGCGATTCGTGACTAGTTCCCCCTGGGGTAATGAAAACATTTTTTATAAATATCCACACATCTTATATTTTCCATTTTTTTTCGGTGCTATATACTTTATACCTATATAATACGAAATAACTTTTGTTTTAAATAAATGTTTGTTGTCTTGATAATGTCAACAAATTTACCCAAACATGGGGGCGATCCACACATCGCTCTTTTTTGTCACTGATGTGCCATCGTGCTGTCGTGGTACATACCTCCCAGTTTCCAGACTACTGTATAGCAATAATATAATACAATAATACCAAGAATATAGTAATAATAATAATAATAATAATAATAGGTACTTTAATATTACAACATGTTGTCTATAACTCGCATTACAAAAAAAGCCTTTTCAATATCTCCTTAATGATAATTAATTATTTATAATTCAACTTTCAAAATAATTATATACATTAGCTACCGACTACCGTGTAGATTTTCGAATACCTAATGCATATTTAAATAAAATATATAATGCTTTGTCGAGATAATAATTTCCACAAATAGTGATACCTATTGCCACGGGAGGTCGGTAATTGTGCCACATTTTATCTACCTGCTATGTATATAATAATTGTTTACATTTTACTACCCGGAGATTGGGCTACAAATTAAATCTACATTTTTAAAGTGTACCCGGAGATTGGACTGTACAGCATAAAAATATAAAAATATATAACGTTTATTAACTAATAATTATTTTTATAATGCATGAAATACAATAATTTTTTTTAAAAATAATGTCATACGCAGATTTCACAAATTTCATATAATATATAAGGTCAATAAAATTAGTCAAATAATAATAATTATAAATATTTTTTCTATAATATACACTAATCTTTTAAAATAATAACACACGCAGATTTCACAAATTTACCAACACCAATAGTCAAATAATAATATAATAATAATATTTTTTTTTTATAAGTACATACAATTATTTTGTTAAATAATGTGATACCGATTTTACAAATTCAAATCTATTTTTTTCCCTTCTTCATAATTTTGAATTTCATTGAAAATAAATATTTTTCGAATCAAAGTTCGTTTTCTTGCTTTTATCGTTCCTATGCTTCTCATTTTAATATATACTTCGGATTGACCCCAATAAAACATTTACAAAATTATGAATATTTGGATGTGACATATAAAAATTGTTTTTGAAATGTGAACAAAAGGACTCGACGGCATTTGTAGTGCGAGTTACAGATTCAGAACGTAACGCCCATATATGCGGAGGGAAAATAGAATCGTCACTAATATAAGTGTTAGCCCCTTGCCGCTTTAGGTACTAGTGTACTACCAATATGATAGTAAGTTTACAAGTTATACAAACACAGTGGTCGGTGAGATACAAGATTTTGATTTTGAACTCTAATTATAGCATTATTGTAATTTAAGATAAAATTAAAATTAAAGGCTTATAATACAATTTTGCAATTTAAATAAGTAACTAATAATACCGTATAAAATGCATTTAGTAATTTTATCTTTTATTTGCAAAAATATGCTTCATTTAAATTTAATTTTTGATGATTCATCACTTTCTATAGCAACAACCAATAAATCATTCAAACGATTATCACTCATATAGTCACCCATATTGTCATGTACTCATCAGTTATAGTTATTATTATTATTATTCTCATTTGTTTCTTTTCCGTATCTCTGTACCACTATTGATAAAAAAACAATCGATTTTTATCCTAAATTGTGCTTTGTGCCTTTGTCATCAAGATATGGAATATAAGAATATACTGAGACACTAAGTAATAATATAATAATAAAAGTACTTAGTACGAGTATACTATTTATCTCGATGTGAATTGTACTCGTCTTATCGTATTGATTACAGATGATTCATAATATAATAAACAAATAACAAATAAACTAAGTATATTCTTTATCTCGATGTAATTTGTACTAATCTTATCGTACTGATGAATCATTCGACTTTAAGACTTCTAAGGCCAAGATGATTTGTATGTTGCACCTTGGCCTGTAGGCTGAAATGGTTCTAGAACCGGTTCATATTGACCTGTAGCCAATTTGGAAATTTGCTACAAATATAATGTATTGGGTATTTGGGTTTCAATATCATTTATTTTTGCCCATATTATTGAGGGATTCAGACTTTTATTGCTGACAGCTGTTACTATGCATACTGTAGGTATAGTATCGATTTTATTTTTGTAAATAATATTTTCGATATACCTGACCATACATATGGAGTATAATATGTATATTGTACACTCACGAGTAAGTGAGTAGGGGTAAAAAAAATGTGAGTAGGCAAAACAGTATAGGTATCAAGTAATTCGTCATAGTCAAGAATAGGAAACTTCAATCATGCTACCTACTGAAAGGGTTGAAGACAAAGCATTTTTATAATGTAATTGTATGAACTTATGTATACCTACCTTGCTTTAAATTAAATAAATGATTATTTTATTTTGGATGGTTACTAAATTCTGGATAATGACATAGGTATCTTAAAAAATGGTACCTAATTCTATTATTTATAATATTTCTTCTTATTTTATAATTAAAATATGTTGAAGGAATTATCTAAAGGTACGTTATTGCATGATTTTTATACTTTTCTGTTTAAAAGTATTAGTTTTTAATTTATTACACATTTTAATTCAATAAAAAACGCAGATATTAAAATATGTACAAACAATTTGTTAGGTTAAAGTAGTTTTAGATTCTAAGCGACGATTTTACCGTTATTTTGGCCCAAAATATATAGGTACTTTCTAGTTTCTCTGAAAACTTTTTTTAATAGACAGAACATTCAAGGAGAAATGATACAGGAAATCTTCAGTGAATATTTGTATTAAAATTTTCTATACACCATATAATTTCATACTTTGAGTCACGTCATTTATAGCCATATCAAATTTTCGGTTATAGTTAGTTTTTTTTAAAATTAATCTCGATAAAAAAATTTCCGATCGGTCAAAAACTTGGAAATGAAATACAAGGTTATTCGTTATAGTTGTTGTTAGTGGATATTTAAAAAAAAATTTGAAGGTACCTAACCATGAAAATTTGCAAATTATTTTGAGTTAGAAATTCTTAAAAAGGTTCATTTTTACATCTAAGATTTGAAAATTTAATACAAGACACATCATAAGTGTATCCATCTTATTAAAAAAAAAACCTACCGGTAAGTCAAATTTAGTTTTTATGAGCATTTGAAGTTTAATTCTTACAACATTGGATATTAAATCAATTTCAGACGGAGTGGTTCTCTTATTTTGTAGTAATTAGAAAACAAATTGTCATAGTTATTTGAAATTTATATGATCTTTTTATTTTATATTTTTCATACTAACTTCATACAATTTTCGAAATATTTTGATTTGTTTTGAGCTGTTTACGGACTTTTTCAATTTTTTTATTTTTATTCTCTATGAATGTGAATAAAATGTTGGTTCGAAAAGCTTGAAAATGTAATACAAGGCGCCTCACACATTGTTACAATATCAGTTATATTGTCAATAACACATATTTTTTTATAGACATTTGAGTTCAAATTTGGACGAAATTACATATTGAAGCTAAGAAAAACGATTTTAGTTATTTTGTTGTATGAATATTTTTAAAATATTATTATGCACTATGTAGTATGTTAGTATATTTTATACATATGATGGCATTTACAAATGCAGTTTTTTCAGCAATAATGGATTTAAAATAAATTACTTTTGTCTTCATTCGGAATCGTTTTTCGTATACACTGATTTTATATCATTGAATTCAAATTTAACACGCCCATTAAAGTGACCTCCTAGACATTTAATGAACAGCATTAACACTCTAGTATTATGATTTGACATTGTTTTAAAATCAAATATAACAACACGTCAACACACTGACTAGTGTGTACCTATAGGGGTTAGTCATTTGCTACACGATTTTTAATATTATTTTTTTTAATATTTTTCCTATGCTCTATAAAGGGTGGAGATAAATAAAATACAACTATGATATTAATAATAATTATTCATTTTTCATTTTATCTACATTTAAAATAAAAACAAATTTCATATTATTATTATTCATTACAAATTACCAAAATGTATTTTAGATTTTAATTTTCAACTAACCAAATAAATATGTTTTTTGGAAAGAAATCAATACGATTTTTTTCACAGATATATATATATAGCTATCCATTTATCAAAGAAAATATAAAGTTAAATAAATTATAGGTACTACCTATATAAATAATACTCATTACTTGATATTGAAAATGTATAATACATAACAATGAACTGATTATATTTTAGGAATTGTACAAAACTCAAGCATGATGGTTGACTTGACTGCAGGGTCAAGGAAACAACTTTGGAACGGTTCATCTATTTATGGACTCCTTGTAGTCGCATTGGTAAGTACAAATCTATATAACCTTCATAACTTTTTGAATAATTCAAAATAATATTTTTAAGTGGGTGTAATACCGTCTGCTTTCGAGTTCAATTTAGGCAATTTTCTTAGTATTTTAGAACGAGTCGTGTGAGCAATGAGTAAAAGAAATAGTGGAGCTCTCACGGATGTGCACTCATCACGTAATATTATGCTGCAAATTATTCTTTACACCAATATCAATTATTTTGTTTTATATGTGGTAAAAGTATTTTTTTGATTCAATATCAAACAATATAAAATTGTATTTTTAATTTTATATACGTGATATAAGATAACTAATCTTTGAGTTGTTATAACTAAGCATTTTCTAAAAAGTATTAAAGTAGAGCTTACAAGGAGTTATCTGGTGTTTGCCCCAAAAATATAAAATATGAAAATCAATCAATTTTAATCATTAATTCTTTTCGACAAAAATAAGTTTTACTAAATCCAAGGTTTACAAATAGTTATTACATATTCTAGCCATGCATCATAATATTTTGTTAATTACTTATACGATTTATCTGATTGTAGAACCAAAATTCAAAACAAGACAATTCGATACGTATCTGATTATTGTATAGAAATATAAATAATTTTTTTTATAATTATATTGTTAAAAAGTAAATTCGTGGGGCCAAAACATGGAAAGCAAAAAAAGGGTGGAGTGGGGAGGGGGGAGTCATTCAAGGGTCATTCATAATGTACATGTTAATTGGCTTTTATTTTTTTTATAATGTTATTGTAAATGTAGCTCGTGCAGCCAGTTGTCCACCTCTACTCTACAGTGTTATACTACACATTAATAAAACACAGTTATTAAAATTATTTTTTTTCAGGTGTTTATATGTATATCACAAGTCGATTCGTTCAAGCACGATAGCAACAAAGACGCAGGGGACTGCTCAGGTTCGCGGACGTGTACAAAATGTGCGCAAAACCCGTCGTGCAGCTGGTCGTTGAAACGGCAGGCGTGCGTGAACACGACGCGGAGGCCGGAACTGTTGATGGTGAACATCCGCGAACACTGTCCGCAGTTCACCGTCGTCGACAGCTTCGTCTACAAAATGCACCTGCCCTTCACGTACAAGGTGAAGGTGTCGAACGACGTGAGCGGTTTCATTAAGTACCTCGGCAAGAGCAACATCACATGCTCCCTGAAGGGCGTGACGTACAACGGTACGGTGAGCGAGGAGGCGGACACGATCAACTGCCAGACGATAAGCAACGACAATCTGGAGTTCGACAAGCAGCGGCTAATGATCTACCACTACAGCATCGCGTTCGACGGCGTGCCGCTTCGGATCGACGACGGCGTCAACAACTACTTCACCGTGTACAACAGCCATTATTGCGACATCACCAACAAGACCAAAGACTGCGTCGCGTGTTCCTGGAACTCGGAACTCAACACGTTCTACTACAAACGGTGTTCGGCGGGTAACATGTGTACAGGCCTGTTCGAATTCTACGACCGCCGGAACGCGACTGCTTTCGAGGACACGGCGGCAGACGACCCGGACAACAAGGACACCGCGTCTCTGCTCACTGAATCCGGACCGCCCGCGGGAGTTTGCCCGGACATGACGATTCAGTCGGTGGAACCGCTGTCGGCCCCGTGGTCGGGCGGAGCAACGCTGGTGATAACCATCAAGAACCACGAAGTGCTGTCCGAATCGCGGAAGGTGACAGTTATGGTGGCCGGACGCGATTGCGTCCACCCGAAGAAGATCAACGGCGAGACCATCTCATGCACGGTCGGATCACCGAAGCCTGACGACTTGGCCACAGGCCCGGTGCACGTCATATACGGACAGCTGAGACTGACGTCGGCACAGACATTCCAATTCGTCTACCCCGAGCCAACCGCCCTTAGCCCGACGTGTGGCCCTGTCTCCGGCGGTACCTTGTTGCACATTACCGGCCGTTCCCTGGACGCCGGCAGCACGGCCACTGTGTCCGTGGGCCCTGCTAACGTGCCGTGCGAGTTGGTCGCTAGGTACGAGGACCGCTTGCTGTGCGTGACCGGACCGTCGGACGCGCCGGCCGCGGGCGCCGTCACCGTCGTGTTCGACAAGTTCCTGAGGAGGAAAGTCGGTGTAAACGGTACCGGCGCACCGCTTTCCAAGGCTGCGGTGCAGTTCGTGTACGCGGGTGACCCAGTGCTGGACGCGGGACAGCCGTTCTCGGGCATCGCTTCAGGTGGAACCTACATCCCGGTGCGTGGCCGCCATCTGGCGTGTGTGAGTAACGCCACGCTGTACGTGGACGACTCGGACGGCGTGCGACACTATGCCGGTTGCACGGTACACAACGACACGTTTATGGAGTGCCGGTCACCAGCGCTCGAAGCGCCCCGATCGTCCCCCGCTTGTGCCACGGCCGTTGCTCCGTCATTGAATTTTGGTTTCCGCGTGCATTTTGCCGACCACACTTTGGACTTGTCCCCTCAGTCCGACTTTCCCAGTTACCGGCTGTACGCTGATCCGGCGTTCACGGATTTTGATACTGACGGCCGCAACGTGACGATCAACGGCCGCCACCTGGACCGAGGCTACCAGCCGTCCGTCGACCTGGCCATCCGATTGCGTAACGCCAAGGGCACCCCGTGCACAGTCATCAGCACACAGCGACGACGAATCGTGTGCGTGAGACCGCCGTCGTCAACCGAGGACGGTGACCTGCGTGAAATCTACGTCACCGTCGGCCACGAATTTGGCCGCACCGTCAAGAAGAACAGCAACACCGACAATCGTTTAGCAGACGGACCGTTGGGCGTGTTCGAAGCGTTCCTGCTGATGGTCGGCATCCTCACCGGCGTGTGCTTCATGTCGGCGCTGGTCGGCGCGGTCTACGTGGTGTGGAACAACAAATGCAACATCCGCCGATACTTGTAATCCACCTCGGCCACAGTAATATTACATTGTGTGCTGGACGTATCGAGGAGTACAGCATCCGGTAGAGCGATTCGGCACAAACAGTTCAAAAACTTATTGATGATTTTAATTTGTACATTTTGGTTTTTTTTTTATTTTACTCTGTATGCATAGATAATAATCTAATAAAGTAAATTAACTATTTTTATAATGCCGGTAAACTGATGATCACTAGGATCTATACAGGTTGGCCATAGATTGTGAAGTAATCAAACAAAAATTTATAATGTTTTCAGATTTACATTCTTACATTAGATTTAAGCACTTTATATATTATTAACATACAAATTATACTGGTTAAAATTTTTAAAATATACCTGATATCAAACTTACATTTTCGGTATTTTAATATTTTTATTTTAGTTCGTTTGAGTATTGATTAGTAAATATAAATTAAACAATTAAATTTACTATATTAATAAAAGATATCATCTACAAAATATTGTATATACTTTTACACTTACTTAGTGAACATTGTCTGATATATTATCTGATTACAAATCGTCGTATTTTCTATTAAAATAAATTAATCTTACAATAACTGTACATAAATCCAAACCAAAAAAACAATGTTTATAATATTTTCTATTTCTATTTATTTACATATATTTTTTATATTCTATAAAGCAGTGTTTCACGACCTATTTAGATCCATACAAATGTCGACAACTTTAAAATATTTAGTAAATTTTGGAAAAAGTAAAAATTTATAGTCTTTGTAAATTAATACATTAATATGTTATCATTTTATTAAGAATAAAATGAATATTTACTCAATTAAAATTTAAACAGTTCAAAGAAAGGTTTATACTTAAAAACAATTATTATAGAAACAGAATTATCTAGTTTATAAAGGAAATTAGTGCGATACTTGTGTTTAACGAACCGAATATAGATGTCTTCGATTCGTGTCGTGGGTGAACGATTGACAAACTTGCTCATAATTCGGCATACACTTTTTTTTTTTTGGTTTTGTTATTTCTTACGTCGAAAATGCTGATTCATATACACGTGTATGATGTTAAAAAATAACACAAGATTTATAATGCTTTTTTGCTCACTCCAGCGTATATGTTTTGCAAATAAACTCAAAAGAAATCATTTTGAGACTTATAAAATTTCGATTTTAGCATTATATTTTTTAATATTTCTGATAAATGTTCTCTTCCCCTATAAGTTAGGTTTGCATTTTTATTATTTTTTTCTACACATTCAGTCCCCATGTACATTATAATGTACATACATTTTTATAATTGATAATATTAAATAATGATAAGCGCTACGTTCGTAATTGTGATGTCAATGAATTCGTTATAAATTATAATGTGTAGAATCAGAATAAAATATAATATCTTACATAAGTGTTAACAACATTATTAAATTCAACTGCAAAAGGGAAAAAATATGATAATCATAACCTGATTATTTTTCGATATGGTTTTTTCCCCTCTCGAATGTATGTGATAATATAAAATGTTGTGCATTTTTTTATTAATTCTTGACATATTCGTTGATGTTTTGCCGCCGGTTTCGTTATTATACGTACAATATCACGGAATTTATAGAAGGTACTATTTATGTACATTACAATGTACATTGGGACTCGTCGGCTCAACACGACCGCGTGACGGGAACGGACGACATGAAAGTCATAATTCTATTATTTTCTATAAGCAGGGCTCGAGACTTCTAGCACTAAAAAACCATGAAATATGCGCTATAATATGCCTTAAAAAATGATAAAATATGCACTGTAATATGCTCAATAAAAAAATTTA